ACCTAGATACTTAAGAACTGCAAAGGGGAAACTGAGGAAAACATTAAGAACAGTCCCACTTCATTACAGGGAGGCTGCTGGCAGAGACTCCAGAACCATGGGGCCCAGGGGCCCTTGGCCCCCACCTACTTTTTAACATGGGGTTTGTTTAGGGGGCGGGGGGGGCGCATTGCCCCCCCAAACTGCAAGCCTCAAGCAGGCACAGAGTGGTGCTGGCAGGGCTGTGCTTCCCGGTGGGGAGCTGAGGTGGGCCTTAGCCCCTGCTCGCCATGAGGACAGGCTCCTCTCCATGACCTCACTCTTGCTCCTTCTTCCCCTGCCAAGCTCCCTCCCCCCCCCCCCCCCCCCCCCCCCCCCCCAGCCAGGCTGGAAGGTGGAGTTACCCAGGGAGCCTGGGCCGCTGTGGAGACCTGGACCCTCCACCTGCCCTGGGCGGTGCGCCCCAGGGAGTGGGGATACGGACCAGGGGCTGCTCTCGGGAGATGCCTCCAGAGATGACACTGCTTTGGGTTCTGCTGTCCTCCAAACTGTGCTGGATGCACCTCCTCACAGAGGCTCCTATGGTGGAGCACAATGTACTGGAGTGGAAATTTTTCACAATACTTTGTATGAAATATTGTGTGTGCCTCAGTTTCCCCTATGTGGTGCCTGGTTAACTAGGTGGAGGGGAAAAGTTGTTACTCTTTGCAGAGACCCAGAGATCTGCGTGCGACGGACACGTGGCTGTCTGGGGCGTGCGACGGACACGCGGCTGTCTGGGGCGTGCGACGGACACGCGGCTGTCTGGGGCGTGCGCCCCAAGCCCATGGATGGAAGACAATAGAAGTCTGAGAAGACAATAGCCACTCCAATTGCCCAGATATTTGGCACCTAGCAACTAAGGGCCAGGGAATGGGATGACCCACCCTCCGCAGGAAGCCAGCCGCATGTGACCAGCTGGAGAACAAAGGGCTAAGGAGGAGGGGCCAGGTGACGTTAAGGGGGGCGGGGACTGGGTCTAAAGAGGGGTCAGAGGGCTGTGGGCTCCTGGACCAGACTGTAACTTTTTGTTGTGTGTGTTAACTAATGATGTCCTACGCTGGGTTCCAGCCCTCTAATAAACCCTTCTGCTTTTACACCGCTGCTGAGTCACTCCAGTTTAAGGAAGTTGGGGAACATGCTCCTTTCGGGTGTGCACCTTTCCCTCTCGGGTGGATTCACTGAGGGGAGCTCACAGCATGAAGCAGGGGGGCTGAAGGCTCCAAGGGTCGGTCCCAGGAGGTGGTGGAGCCAAGGGGCTGACCCCAGTGAAAGTGTGACCCTAAGGGGGCTGACACACTGAAGGGGTCTCCCAGGGGCTGCTCCAGCACACCAGAGCTGGGGATCCCCCACACACCCAAGGGACAGACGCTTGAAGAAGAGAGGTTACTACCCTGGCATTAACCAGAGTTCTTCGAGATGGTTTGTCCCTAGGGTTGCCCCTCCTCCCAGCCGCTTCCTCCTCCACGGCAGAGATTCCAGCTTTGCGGGCGAGAAGGAGCTGAGTGGTGTCTCCTGCTATGCCCTTGTTAAACACACAAGTGCCCCGCTGTGCACACTTCCTACTGTGACAAAGTTCCTCCTCTATCTTGGTGGGTCCTGTGCTTATTGGCAGATTTTCTTGCCTCAGAGATTCACCATGTGGGTTGGGGAACAGCCCAGAGACCTTCCCCTCTGGAAGAACCCACAGTCCAGGTCAATTGGGAGGTTTGGGGGGAACCCAGGCCCGCCCTCTACTCCGGGTTCCAGCCCAGGGCCCTGTGGACTGCAGCTGTCTATAGTGCCTCCTGTAACAGCTGCATGACAACTACAACTCCCTGGGCTACTTCCCCATGGCCTCCTCCAAACACCTTCCTTATTCTCACCACAGGACCTTCCTCCTGGTGTCTGATAACGCTTGTGCTCCTCAGTCCTCCAGCAGCACACCCTCTCAGCTCCTTGTGCCTCTTGCTCCCACCTCCTCACACTCACACCACAAACTGAAGTGAGCTCCTTTTTAAAACCCAGGTGCCCTGATTAGCCTGCCTTAATTGATTCTAGCTTCTTCTTAATTGGCTCCAGGTGTCCTAATTAGCCTGCCTGCCTTAACTGGTTCTAGCAGGTTCCTGATTACTCTAGTGCAGCCCCTGCTCTGGTCACTCAGGGAACAGAAAACTACTCATCCAGTGACCAGTATATTTGCCCTCTACCAGACTCCTGTACCCCACTGGTCTGGGTCGGTCACACTACGCTGGAGCTCCCCCGACAAACTGGCTTGAGGAACTCGAGTTCCCGTAAGGCCAGTAACCTCTCCTCCACACGGCACAAGCCTGGGGCCCCCTTCTGACTGTTTTCCACTTGTCAGAAACATTCAGCAAATGAACAGGGAGCCAGAACTAAGAACGGCCAGCCTGGGTCAGACCAATGGGCCATGTAGCCAGTATCCTGTCTGCCGGCGCTGGGAATGAACAGAACAGGGCAACTTCAAGTGATCCATCTCTGTCCAGAGCAAGGGGTTGCAGCTATGACCATCTTGGCTAATAGCCATTGATAGACCTGTCCTCCAGGAATGTATCGAATTCTTTGTTGAATGTTGTTCTACTCTTGGCCTTCACACCATTCCCTGGCAAGGAGTTCCACAGGTTGACTGTGTGTTGTGTGAAGAAATACTTCTTTTTGTTTGTTTTAAACCTGCTGCCCATTAATTTCATTGATGACCCCTAGTTCATGAGTTATGAGAAGGAGTAAATAACACGTCTTTATTCACGTTCTCCACACCAGTCATGATTTAATAGACCTCTATCATCCCCCCCTCCCCCGTCCCTCGGTCATCTCTTAATTGTTCCTACTTCAAATTCCTCTGAGACCTTGGTCTCAACATGGGACAGCTCAGTCGCTGTCAATCAATTGCCTACAACCGTTTGTCTCTTCTGGGCCACATCCTGACAAGGAAACTCCACAGATTGAACTGGTCAGACTCCTTCGAATCGCTGGCACTGGTTCTAGTTAGTAGCCATAGTGAAATCTAAAGCCATTGGTAGCTCATCCGCTGTCTCGGCGAGCCAGTCTCCACTCACTGGCTCCATTTAAGACCATGGAGGTGGTTCAGTGTTGGTTCCCCTATTCCCTAGTATTGTTCAGCTTCCATCCTCCTGGCTAGCAGCAGCTTCCTCTCCAGGTGCCCGGCGGCAGAGAGAGATTCAGTGCAGCAGCAGGTTCCACAGCCTCGCGCAGGGTCTTTGGCCTCCTTCCCCCATCTGGCTCTGCAAGGCCACGCCCAGCTGAGCAGCTCCAACCTGGCCCGTGACAGCCTGGCTCAGAGGGCAGCGTGGTAGCCGGATGCGCCAAGCACTCACGTCTATGCCGGGCCTCTGCCAGGTCAGATGGTGCTTCTGCCCCTCGCTTTCCAGCCCGTAGCCAGGCCCTGACAGCTCAGAGTGAAGGCTGGCTCCAAATGGCGTGTCCTGGCCTTGAGCCAAAGACGGCTAATTCCTGTCTGGGGTAAGATCTGCAGCAGCCTCAGTGCTTGGCCACGGGAAACCCTCCTTTCTGCCCAGCCCCCCGGCCCTTCTGTGCTCGGACACTGAACTGAGCCAAGCCCAGTGAGGTTTTCCCTCGGCGTCCGCCCCCAGGATTCTGCCCTGGGCTCCGGGCCCTCGGCGGCCCGACCCCAGCATCCTGCCCTCGGTGTCCCGCCCCCAGGATCCTGCCCTGGGCTCCGGGCCCTCAGCGTCCTGCCCTCAGCATCCCATCCCCAGTATCCTGCCCTCGGCGTCCCGCCCCCAGGATCCCGCCCTTGGCGTCCCGCCCCCAGGATCCTGCCCCCAGCATCCTGCTCTGGGCCCTCGCCGTCCGCCCCCAGGATCCTGCTCTGGGTCCTGGGTGTCCTGCCCCCAGCATCCTGCTCTGGGCTCCAGGCCCTCAGCGTCCCGCCCCCAGGATCCTGCCCTGGGCTCTGGGTCCTTGGTGTCCTGCCCCCAGGATCCCGCCCTCAGCGTCCTGCCCCCAGGTTCCCGCCCCCAGCTGCAGGTTCCTTGGTCCCAGAGGTGGACGCATTGGAGCCAGTGAGAGGCCGGGTGACTGAAGAGGGGCCAGTGGGGGGAGGGGTTACAGAAAGGGCTGAGTTTGGCCAGGCCCGGGCTGGGAGGGTCCTGGCGAGCCCCATTGGGGGAGCAGGGGAGGGCTGCGTTATGTAGCCCTGGACTGGCCGAGCCCTGGGACTAGCCTGCAGGAATCTGGGCTGCCCTGGCCCACGGGGTGTGTCTGGCTCTCGGCAGGGAGTGCGGCTGTCCAGTTGTCTGGGGCTTGGGATGGGGCCGGAGCAGTGCTTGGGGGTGGCATGGAGGCTCGGGGCTGAAGAAGGGGGGCACTGGGGCACAGTGCACCCTGCCCCCCCGCCCCCCGCTGCCCCGGGGCTGTGGGGCCCAGCAGGATTCCCTGGAGCACCAAGAAACTCCCGTCTCTTCCTTCGGCTCAGCGCAGCCTCCCCCAGTCAGCGGCGGCTCCAGGCACCAGCGCAGCAAGTGCATGCCTGGGGCGGCAAGCCGCGGGGGGCGCCCTGCCGGTCCCTGCGAGGGCGGCAGTCAGGCAGCCTTCAGCGGCACGCCTGCAGGAGGTCCGCCAGTCCCGTGGATTCGGCGGTAATTCGGCGGTGGGTATGCCAAATCTGCGGGACCGGGGACCTCCCGCAGGCATGCCGCCGAATCTGCAGGATCGGGGACCTCCCGCAGGCAGCCTGCCTGCCATGCTCGGGGCGGCAAAAAAGCTAGAGGGGGCAGGTGGGACAGTGCCATTCCCCTGGAGCAGGTGGGGTATTGGCAGGTCTTGGCGAGGTCCAGGGTGCTCCCCGGCCCCCCGCCCCATTATTCTCTGCAGGGGGCTGACGGCGCAGCCAGGCGCTGGCGGGCTGGGAGGGGAGCAGGAAGTGTGGGAAGTCTTGCAATGGTTTGCTGGTCAGTGCAGCGTTTCCTGTTCCTCTTTCTCAGCTGGGGTTGTGCAGTGTCCAGGCTAGTGACAGGCTGCCTGCGTGGGGCCAGGGAGCCCAGTGCCACAAGGGATTCACCGGGACTCCCCTGCTTCCCGGGAGCTGAGGCTGCAGACACGTGAGTCAGCGCTGGGGCCGGGGGGGGGGGGGGGGGTTGCCCTTTCTCACAGCCCTGTCCCGGGCTAAGGGCTCAGCCATAGGGCACGGAGCGCCCAGCCCCTCCTGTCACCCCTGCCCCCGGGAGAAGGGCTCAGTGCTGGGAGCTCTGGCCCCTCCTGAGCTCTCAGTGCAGAGGGGGCAGCGCTGGGGACACGACTCCCGCCCAGCCGGCTCCAGTGGTAGAGGGTCAGACTGAGTCTCCCTTTCTGCCTCGCTCTGCGCCCCAGCCCGGGCCCTGCCCGCCAGGCTCTGCAGGAGACTCTGGTCTCCCCTCCCCAGCAGCCACAGCAGCTCCGGCCCCTCTCCTCAGGGCCCTATGCCAGCAGGTGACTGTGGCCGAGATGCCGGGGAGAGCTGGGGGCTCACTGTCCCATGGTGCCTTATAGACAGGACCCCTCAGCGCTGCCTCCTGACCCAATGGCGAATGTCCATGCAGCACCATCTGTCTGGGCTGGGCTGGACTGGGCCTCAGGCTGCCCCCGGGGGCTGGGGTACCAGTGGTACTCCCCTGGCAGGTTCTGCCCACCCACATTCTCACCCCTTGGGCTGTGTCTCTGCTCCCTGTTACTTGCTGGTGAGCTGCTCTCCCCCCTCAGCCCCCTGGGGCCAGGTCTTGCCCCCCAGAGCTTCGGCCAGCTTGAGCCCCTTGGGCTCCCAGCCCTTCGCCACAGCCTCCAAGAATCATAGACTCATAGAATATCAGGGGTGGAAGGGACCTCAGGAGGTATCTAGTCCAACCCCCTGCTCAAAGCAGGACCAACACCAACTAAATCATCCCAGCCAGGCTTTGTCAAGCCTGACCCTAAAAACCTCTAAGGAAGGAGATTCCACCACCTCCCTAGGTAACCCATTCCAGTGCTTCACCACTCTCCTAGTGAAATAGTTTTTCCTAATATCCAACCTAGACCTCCCCCACTGCAACTTGAGACCATTACTCCTTGTTCTGTCATCTGCCACCACTGAGAACAGCCGAGCTCCATCCTCTTTGGAACCCCCTTTCAGGTAGTTGAAGGCTGCTATCAAATCCCCCACCCCCCCACTCTTCTCTTCTGCAAACTAAATAAGCCCATTTCCCTCAGCCTCTTCTTGTAAGTCATGTGCCCCAGCCAGGGCCGGCTCCAGCATTTCTGCCGCCCCAAGCAAAAAAAAAAAAAGCCTTGATCGCAATCGCGGCTGGCGGCGGCAATTTGGGGGGAAAAAAAAAGCCGCGATCGGCGGCGGCAGTTCAGCGGCAGGTCCTTCGCTCCTAGAGGGAGTGAGGGACCTGCCGCCCCCGAATTGCCGCACATGCCGCCCCTCTCCCTTGGCCGCCCCAAGCACCTGCTTGTTAAGCTGGTGCCTGGAGCCGGCCCTGGCCCCAGCCCCCTAATCATTTTTGTTGCCCTCTGCTGGACTCTCTCCAATTTGTCCACATCCTTTCTGTAGTGGGGGGACCAAAACTGGACACAGTACTCCAGATGTGGCCTCACCAGTGCCGAATAGAGGGGTATAATCACTTCCCTCGATGCTCCTACTAATACAGCCCAATATACCGTTAGCCTTCTTGGCAACAAGGGCACACTGTCGACTCATATCCAGCTTCTCGTCCACTGTCACCCCTAGGTCCTTTTCTGCAGAACTGCTGCGTAGCCACTCGGTCCCTAGTCTGTAGCAGTGTATGGGATTCTTCCTTCCTAAGTGCAGGACTCTGCACTTGTCCTTGTTGAACCTCATCAGATTTCTTTTGGCCCAATCCTCTAATTTGTCTAGGTCCCTCTGTATCTGATCCCTACCCTCCAGCATGTCTACCTTTCCCCCCAGCTTAGTGTCCTCTGCAAACTTGCTGAGGCACAGCGTACACTCTGCCCCTCTGCTGTCCCCAGCTCATCCTGCCCTGGGGCTGTGGGGCTCAGCCCGGCCCTGCAGTATTCCCTGGAGAGCCAAGGACTGCCGCCTTTTGCCCCCCTCTGAGGCTGGGCTGGGTGCCTCCCTCTCCAGTGTGTCCATCGCTCGGGCTTGAGCCCCCTCGCCCCAGACTCTGGTGGCTTGGGGGAGGGGAGCATCCCCCCGCGCACTGCGTGGGGCTCCCTTGCTCGCTCGCTCTGGGGCTCAGCAAGTAGCAGCAAAACCAGAGTCTATTTCTGACCCACCACTTCCTCCCTCTGTGACCTCGGAGCAGCCCTTCCCGGAGAGCGGCTCCCAGCCCGGGCCGCTCACACATGAGGCTAACACCCTTCGCCCGATTTGAATCCATTTTGCAAATCAGATTTTGTGGGGCTGCGTCCAAGTGTCACTACCGTCCAGCCGGTCACGTCTCCCCGGAACCCACGGCCCAGGGTGGTCACTGAGCCACATACTGCGTGGCCAGATCCCTCGATGGGGGCTGTGCCCCAAATCCCCCCGCTGCCAGGGCTGCTCGTCCAGATCCCCCCTTGGGGTCTGTGTCCTAAACCCCCTGCCCCCAGGGCTGCACAGCCAGGTGTTGGGACAGCAGTGCATTGGGGACTTTGTGGAACTATTCAGACCCTCCCAAAAAACAATGCGGGAGAGGTGAGCCTGGAAAATGCAAAGGGGACCTGACCACAGGCAAATGAGCCAGGGAAGCTGCAGCAGGTGTGGGGACGGGGCACAGGGCAGTGGCTTGGGGGCCTGGCGTACGGTCACACAGCGCCCAGGGGAAGCTGCAGCGGGCGTGGGGACGGGGC